AATAAACGCCGCGGCGTTTATTAAATTTTTGGCGCTCAAGGTGCGGCGTTTATTCGAGGGCGGCGTTTATTGCAAATTTTGTAATGCAAATAATGTGTTGGCTTTTTTATTATAGAAACATGAGAAAGAAGGAACGACTCATTTGAGCGAAGCAGAGAAAGTCAGAAGAAATCAAGTGAAACGTGAAGAAATGAAGGTAATGGAACTACAATGTCACTATAAATTCTTTGCAAAGTCTCTAAATTTTTATTTTGGCAAAATTTTAGTCCTGATGAATTGTACCTTATATTTTTCAGAGGGAACTAGCAAGTGTCAAGAGAAGACGACAGGTTACAATGATTACAAATACTCTTTTTAAAGTTAAAATTTCTGCTATCGTCTTTGCAATTTTTAATACCGTGTTGCACATGTACACATGCACCACTTTTATTCCACATTTTCAGGAACGAGAGCAAGAAAGAATGGCCAGAGACGAGGAAAGGGTATGTTGTTAGCTTTTGAAAAGGAGGAACGACTGATCGTAGTGTGAGCTCTCCCCACCAGACAAATCGTGACATTCCTAATGAGTAAAAATATAAAACGTTTAGGAGATGATGCAGAGGGAAAAAGAAGGTGCATATTACCAAGAGTGGGAAAAACAAGAAGATATGGTAAGCTTGTGATCGACAAATTCTGGGAAATTACCAGCCCAAGTAGTTTGATAGTATTTGTGTAGACCACGAGCAGTCCCCTCGGGAGAAAGGAGGGCCTGCCGACAACACATCCAGAAACGAAATACGCGTTGCCCCAGGCCTTAAAATATCGGTCGGTCACGGACATTGTCCGATCCATTCGTGAAATTGTCCAACGTAGAAAGAAAACCACCGGACATTCTGTCCGACGTAAGTGAAACTGAGGTTTATTGTTTGTCCGACCTGAGTGTATTTGTGTTCGACCGAACTGTAGCTTTGTCCGACGTAAATCAAAATGTACCCTAGCCCAGGACTAGAGACTTGTATGTTAAATGGAAAGTCAGAGTACTATATTGTATAAAAGGTGAACTGGAAGTGTTGTTTTAACGTAGTCAAGCGCGGGGAGGCGAGCGAAGGGGATAAGTATGAAAGAAAAAAAATGTAAAATTTCTTCACAACATTTACAGTACAGATTTAATACATTGTGCTGATATTCATTTGTGTCATTCAGACTTATTTCCGAGTCAAAACTGAACTGAAGGTCATCGGACATATGTCCGACCCAAACTCAATGTCATCGGACATTTTGTCAGACGGCCCTGTGAAAGATATTTTAAGGCCTGGTTGCCCACACAACGCAAAATTCCCATTGGTCGAAATCGATGTGCCTGGCAATCAAATCTGATATGTAGTAATTATGCTATAAATAATTTCCAGACTGATTGTTGATTTTATAAATAAACATGGCATTAACGGTTCCTATTGGATAGATTTAATTGGATATAAGTAATGTTTATGCAAAGGCGGAGCCAACTTGATAAGAGCGAAAAGTGGGCGTACTTCGTTTCTTGATTTGTTGTCGGCAGACCCTCTTTCTCCTTGCACGCCCGCGAAGCTAAACCTGTAGAAAGGAGGGACCGCTCATAGTCTAGTATTTGTGCTGTCATCCTACGTTTCTTCTCACTGTTAAAGGGATACGGCAATATATTTTTTTATTATTTCATTTGGAAGAACTTTTAATTAAAATTATATGTAAATCTCTTTTGCCGATTTTGCGTAACTTTATTATTTCTTGAGATATTTGAACAGAAAAAATTACAAATCAGCGAGCTTTCCGCCATCTTGGATTTTTGGCGGATATGCATGTGACATCATAAGCCCGGTCACGCAAGAGTTTTATCCATAGAGCAATTGGTTATTATCAGCCCAAAGTCATATACTTCAGTAACTATTTGAAATAAAAAAACTGCCTGACGACTTTTCAAACAAGACTTAATGTTATTTGGTCATTTACATGTAGTTTTATATGGCTAACCCTGCTTATGACGTCACTAAAATCACCGATAATGAGATAAAAATTAATCCAAGATGGCGGACAGCAAATTAGTTTAAGTCAAAATATTTTTAGAAATAATAAAGTTACGCAAAATCGGTAAAGGAGATCAACATATAATTTTAAAAGTTCTTTAAAATGAAATAATAAAAAATATATTGCCGCATCCCTTTAAGCGCAGTCGAATTATCAAACGATTTCAGGGTGTTAGCTTCAGCAAAAAATTCGGCATTGTATGCCGTTTTCACAGTTACATTTAGCCAGCAATTTCAAAAATTTAGATCAGCAAAAAACGTAAGTTCAACATAACAATTTATTATATAGTAGTGAGTGAGATACTGAAAAATACACAGTGAGATATTTTCCATATCTTCACTAGTGAAGATATCGATCACGTGACTTTTTCCAATTTGCTTTTGAGCATGAAATTTCACAATTTTTTGCTTGGGACTATATAATAAACAGAACATTACACGGTGGCTTGCGCTCGTTCGTAAAATATTGTTTTCACGACTCGAAGATGAAAGTCCTATATATCTTCGCGCCGCCGTGTAATATCCTCTTTATGCGGAATTATACCCAGCTGATCAAAGAGAAATGTCGACTACCTTCCATGACGTCAGAAAACGGGCTAGACCCAGGCTCTTTGTGGTCACAAAATACGATTGCGCCGGGCTATCGAAAGCTAAATTTAAAACGCCATAAAAGTCGAACGATTTGCCTAAATTTAAAACATTTTTCACAGATATATATATATATATATATACTAGAAATTCTACCGAGATTAGATATCGCAAAAAACCCCACCTTTTTGGGGGTTATAGGTGCACTTTAATCTTCTGCCTAAAGCCCTGGGCAAACTAGGAAACGTTGTGGAAACATTTGTGATTCTCGATGTTACCTCAAATGTTTCCCTGTTTGCCCACCCTTTAGCCTGCGTAGCAGGCTCTATTTTATGGGGGAGGGCGAAAACATTGTTGCGGAAACAAAATTTGCTTCCCGAGAAGCAAAAATGTTTCCTAGAAAATTCAGAAACATTTGATGTTTCCCTTGTTTCTCACTAATGTTTCCTAGTGTTTGCCCACTCTGGGAAACATGGTGAAACATTGGCAGAAAACAATGTTTCCGCAACAATGTTTCCTAGTTTGCCTAGGGCTTAACACCACCCCGGATTTTGACACTATACGTACCTATATATACACTAGTGTACTAGAGGACTTTAGGTTTAACTATCATGCAGTATGACTGCTGTACTTGCACCAAATTCTTAATTTTCGCACCAGTTCATTTAATTTCTTATACACTGACACTGCGGTGAAGAAAACAAATTGTTTTCTTGAGCGGGATACGAACTCGCACCTTCCTGTACTGTATCTAGACCGCCTTTAAGATCAACTTTACAATAAACACAGAGTTATACAACGGGAAGTATACAATTTTCACATCAATTATTTAACAAATATAAAACATTTTCCGACGTTTCCGTGTTGACATTGAGTTATATCAACACGGCTCTTAGCCAATCAGCGTTCAGAATTTACAAATGCTATATTATAAAATTAGAATAAAGTATAAAGTAATGAAGTAAGTCAGATCAATGAAGATGATATCATTCATATCATTGCTTGTATATATAATTCAATAGTGAGATTAAAGTGATAGGCAAGCAAATAAAGTTCCTATTTAACAAATATAAAACATTTTCCGTGTTGATATACAGTTATATCAACACGAGTGGAAATTGGGAAAACGAGAAATTTTGTGGAAACACGACTCCTGAAGGGCGGAGTGTTTTCACACAATTTCGAGTTTTCCCAATTTCCACGAGTGTTGATATATCTATATATCAATACGGAAAAAAGTTTTATATTTGTTTTATAATATAGCACAAAGAAACGTAAAGAAAGAAATTTTCCGACGTTTCCGTGTTGACATTGCGTTATATCAACACGGCTCTTAGCCAATCAGCGTTCAGAATTTACAAATGCTATATTATAAATCTATCTACTGAGCTACTGAGTCGAAGGGTAATTGCCACTGGTCCCGGTTCACTGAATTAGCCAATCTTGTTCCCCGAGCCTGCGATCCTCGGGATAATCCGTTGCCGGAAGCCAGGAATCCTGGCTAAGATTGAACTACGCATTTCATTTCAACGGCCAATCAGATTCCTCCCTGAAACGGATTATCCCAGAGCCTCGCGTTCCTTCCCGAGGGTACGAGTGTTAAAAAGTGCCCAAATTAAGAAATGAACCAAATGACTAAAAGGACCACCTCAAAATTAGTATAGAAAGTATACAAAGTTTGAAGACGTTTACATGAATACCCTTCGAATAATAAGCTTTCGAAAATTGTGAAATTACTGATTAAAAGATTGTTTTTGGGACGCGCGTCCCAAAAACAAAAATTACAATACATTTCATAGTAAATATCACGATTTTCGAAAGCTTATTATTCGAAGGATATTTATGTAAACGTCGTCAAACTTTGTATACTTACTAATTTTGAGGTGGTCTTTTTAGTGATCTGGTTCATTTCTTAATTTGGGCACTTTTTAACACTCGTCGCCAGTCCTCTCATCAACTTCGGAATGGCTAATAGGTAGAACGGCAGTCTACATACATGTACATGAAGATGCGAGTTCGAATTTTCCGTTGTTCAGTTTTTCCTATCTCGTGGATGGTGCTGAAATACTCTGTATTTCATTTTCATGTCTCCAAGTTCTGTCTAGCCTGCGTAGCAGGTGTGCTACGAAGACTAAATTCTATCCTGATTCCAACATATTACCTATAATTTGATTTGAAATAAATCACTGCATATCCCATTTTTTCCCAGTTCCACATTGAGCAAGCAAGAATGAGGTCGAAGATACGTATACACGATGGCCGAGCTAAACCAATCGATCTCTTGGCTCAGTATGTCAACCCTGATGAAGACAGTCTGGAGTTTCAGATGCATGAACCTTATTCTGTGTTGGTGGTATGTGATTGTCATTTCCTTACTGTTAGGTCAAAGTAAAGATTAAAGATTACAATTACAGTGACTGTCATACAGGGGCCAGTTGTTCAAAGCTGGATTAGCGCCAACTGTGGATTAGAAGTTAACACGCCATTTTAGTTTGTCAGTATCTCTACACTTTTGTTTATTACAAAACTCCAGAAAAGAAAACTCGTATTAATCCACACAAGATATCTGGAGACACATTTCCAAGTTTATATAAACAAGCTGTTGGGAATTTGAATTTTATGTTAACCTAGGTTACAGTTGATTTCACGAAACTTTGGCCGCGCCAATTGCGAGGCTGGTTGGGAATTTGGGAACTATAAACACGAGATCATCACGTTGATTGGAAACCGGCCAATCAAATTCGGAAGTTTCGCATCAAATTATCGAAATTCGTTATGAAATTCCGAACCAAGTTCGCAAGCAAGTTCGCAAATTGCAAACGATTTTGGCGATAAATTTTAAAAACTAAACTTATTGTATTAAACTTATTCATTTAATGGAAACTTTATTAATGAATTGTAAATCTCACTTATACAGTGTGTATCAAAATAATTCGAATCCAAATTTGGCGTGTAATAACGCAGAATATATTTGACAAATTCGGTTGGTTTTTACACCATTGTTAAGTTCATTTATTTACCTTTCAAATGACATGCTGTACGCGTCATTTAGTTGGAAAATGAAGGAGTATTGCTTTGACAAAAAAAGTCCATAAAAATCACAATTTTCCGCCGATGGGAATTTGACATTTTTTCTTTCAAAGTTAGTCCCACAAGGCTTTGAAATGCTAATCATCACTGAAAACTAAAATGCAAATTTAACGCGAATTTCTTCTCGTTCAACATGTTGAAGGCATAGGAGCTTAAATCTCTTTAAATGAACACGAATTTATGTAAATTTTGCTACATAACAGTTTGTTGATTAATTAAATTTGCATTATCTTTTGTTTGTACGTCTCACTTCGAATTCCCATTGGCGGAAAAATTTGATTTCGAGCAACCAGTTTTAACACACGATTTCTTGGTCATTTTTGATCTTATTGATATAAGAACGATATAATCGGAAACCTAATAGGCTATTCTTTATTGCCATATGAAAATTATATGGTTTACTTTAGTATTTTATAAACAGCAGTCT